AGAATTCAAGGCGAGACAGACAGTGGGAAAGTTTAAAGAGTTTATTTAAACTAACAGGAGCGCAGGGCTGCTCGTCTGCTGCGGGATGGATCTCTGCAGGGATAGGAGAATACAGGTCAGCGACTGGATGTGGAGCTGAATACGACTTGGAGCAAAGTCACTGACCTGATTCAAAGTTCAGTTAGTTCGCGGAGAACACTGCTGAATCCAAACGGGAGGTTTGACTGCAATTGCGGCGGACGTCGCCCCCAGAGTTTCTAGAGAGTGAGCGGAGCCGGCGCCAGCCGACGCCGAGCAGCAACCAAGTCCAGAAGGGAAATCCAAGGCCGAAGTCAGAAGACCAGGTTTAGAAGCCGGTAGAATCCAGGATCAGACCAGACAAACAGAGCAGACAGGGGCAAGGCAAAACTCGAGATCCTCAGGGCAGAAACTGGTCATGATCAGGAAAACAGAACAGACTAAAGATAGCTAGAATACGTCTCACCAAAACACTTGAATAACCTGACGCTGATGGGAGGCAAACACACAACATAAATAGCAGAGGTACCAGGTGGAAATGATCGGCGTAAATCAGCCGCAGAACCAATTAGACAGGGGAGCAAGGAACCAAGGAAAAAACCAAACCATCAGCGCCAAGATCATGACAGTAACCTTTAAAAAAAACGCAAGATGCCACTATATGCATTGAAAGCTAAATTATTCAACTATTTCGAAAAAATTCTTTGAGATAGGGTCATGGATGAGGGAGGTCTTGTTGGTATCTGTCTTTCAGACATTTCTACATATTTTTCTGAATCCAACATTGTAGCATGGCATAGACAATTCACGTTAGCAGTTTGAAGAACACCTGCTTGCTTCTAATTATTTCTGAAGATGAGTGTTTGTGTTCTATGTCTCATCCAATCACACTAGTTTTCACTAGATGTGGAAGGCGCCAATGATCTGCATTGGATGGTGCACATGACGTGAAATAAATATTTATAAACATTAAACTGAAGCCAAGAGCAACGAGTAACATTTGTTAGAAAAATGTAAGGAATAGAAAGTACAGACATTTGTGTGAAAATGTAATGAGTAGAAGTCAGAAGTAAGAAGAAAAATAAATAATGGAGTAAAGTATAGATACCAGTGGCGGCCGGCCCATAGGGGGCGCTGGGGCACCGCCCTCCCTGATAAGAAGAGAGAAACGTAAAATATATTTTTAGAAATTAACTCATAAATGTCAGTTTTACTCTCTAGAGTGTGTACCTATAAGCAAAACAAATTATATAAACTACATTTCCCTATCTACTGTCATTCATTTGTGGATTTCCACAGACAGACTCCTACAGTCTCTGTCTTAGGGCTGTGATCAGACAGCCCCACATTTGCAGAGAATCTGCCAATCATGTACTATTGCTAGGTGAATTGAATGGCCAATCAGCGTCTCAGAACTTTATGGTCTTGGGGCGCTGAAAATACTGCACTTTAATAGGCTTCTGCACCCAAGCGCAGGTGCAGACAATTAGAGGGATGATGGCGAACGTAACAAACGAGATGCAGCTTCCACCAAATTCGGTGAGATCCTTATTTATCTACCCGTTTGCCAGAAGAACATCCCTGTTGTAGGGTAGGAAAATTTCATGTCATGGTTATTGTGACTGTGACGAATCCACCTCGTCGCTTAAAACATCCTCTAACTTTGCGCGCCACACATACATTCCTGTTATACTGTGCTTGTGAGGACCAATTCACTCGCGCTGAGCCCAGTAGCTCCATTAACTTAAAACACACAAGTTGTTCCTGGTTACCTGCTGGCGTATTGAGGGTGCACACTTAATATTTCAGTGGGGTTAGCCGTGTGTGTGTGGGGGGCGGGGTGTGTGTGTGTGTGGGGGTGTGTGTACGTGTTTATGCTACGGGGACTTGTCATCTTCAGTCTGGCTGCGTCTTGCTGGGTTCAAACCCAGTTTGGTGTAATTGAATAAGTCAATGAATCTGTGTAAAAGAATTAAGTTGTAAAAATTATTTGTTTTTGTACATCAATTGTTTGTGGAGGTAATATATGGACAAAACTGATTTATGAGAAGAAATCAGAAATAAGAGAGCCTGAGGGTAGGGGCTTAAACTATTTAATGAGGGCTGTGGGAAGAAAAGCGGCCATTTTTGTTTTCTGTTTCTTTGTTACATTGCTGGTAACTGGAGGGAGGCCCAGAGTATCTTGTACATGTTTAGTTTATTTTGCACCCTGTTTTGAGTTTTTGAGCACAATAAATCACCAACACCGGTAACCCAACTGAACCTGGATTCTTGGAGGCCAAAGAACCCCGTCACAGTGACCCAAATCATCACTGTTACTGTTATTATATAGTAAAATAAATCATTACTGTTAAATTGTATGTATTGTCCAATTGTCTATTTGAATTCTTATTCCGGATTAGTTGGAGACATACACTAGGCTATATCAGCCCCACCAAAAATATTTTTCACCAGCCGCCACTGATAGATACCTAAAAGTTTTACTTAAGTACAGCAACAAAGTATTTGTAGTTTGTTACTTGACACCTCTGGTGTGTGTTTGTGTGTCTCGCTGTTGTCCTACGACAGACTGGCTACTTGTCTGGGGCGTATCCCGCCTTTCACCCATAGACTGCCAGAGAGCATTGGCCCTACTGTCACCCTGACGGAATACGGAATAAGTGGGAGAAAATGGAGGGATGAACTTGATTGAAAAATTAAGTGTCCAAAGAAAGAACTCAGATGAAACAGTTAAATCTTTAAGCATGACAATATGTAATCATTATTTCTTAATGTATAAATGAATATAATAAGTTACATCTGAGTCAGTGTAATATTCTCCTTCATATTTCTCCAATGAGGTATTCGACAAAAAAACACAGAAATACAGAATTTTAATTTTGGCATTTAGACAAAAAAATCACATGATCACAATGATTAATTTAACATTGATGTTAAACATTCATGTTAAAGTGCAGACAAGCTATATAGACATTAAAAGTAGCAGTGACATTTCCAAATAATTGCCTTTATTTCAGGTTTCATTGGGGGAAAAAAAGCAGTTGATATTTCTACTTTGATGCTTTTCGAGACTAAGCGCAAACTGTACGAGATTCACAGACAAAAGCATATGTTCTTGAGCATGAAACATCATTCCAGTAAAATTGGTCTCCATAATTGGTGTGTCCACAGTGCTCACTTCCACCGCCGTTAGAAGGCTCTCCCTGACTCCAACAGGAGAAATTATATTTAGACCCATCAGACCATATCCAACCTTCCTCTCGATGAATATCAGTAAGTCCAATCCAGGTATATGTCTGAGTAGGATCAAAGTTCTTTACCAGAAAGTTGACAAAATTGTGTTCCTCCAGATTGTGGATGGACACCAGGTTGGCCCCCTCTGATACACATAGGAGCTCTGCTTCACCCCACGTCACCCTTGAGCCAAAGTACTTGTAACAGCGGCCCTTGAAACTGAACCAGAACATGGGACAGCCAGCGCGCACCAACTTCAGTTCCTGTCCGCCTGAGGAGGGTTCAGCAGCCAGGGTCAGAGCAAGCAAGAAAAGGAACAGCATCATCTTGGAAAGTGATGTCATTACGTTGGAGAGTTTCTCAATTCTTGCTGGTGCTGAATTCTTCTGGAGTGATAGATTTTAAAGAGGCATATGTACAGGCATATGAAAAGCTTCTTTCTTTTAAATCCCTTGGAAAGGGTGTCTACAGTGTGGGTGTGATCTGATTGGTAAATGTTCTACTTACTTAACATGTTCTTCTGTACAGAACAGAGCAGTTCTTGTATATCTGTTAAAAAGTAGCAGCTTATTTAAAAACATATAAAAACATGTTAAACCCCTATATCCATCTTTAAATACAACTTTCTTTTCAGGATCTTGTAGGTGTTAATGTCTCTCTTGAGCAGTCTTTAAGGAGACACCTGGGAGAGGCTGCCAGTCCATTGCAGGGCTGCTTAAATGCAGGTAACACATTTGAATTTTCACACAAAACTAAACAAGCAACAACATTATTTCTGTTTTAATCCTATTAAAAAAGAAGTTATGGAACAGTTGCACTGTTCCATGTTTCGTGGTCCATTTTACAAGTAATTTGTATGCTTTGTTCCTGTTAATGATACACATAGCAGCTTTATCTTTTCTTGTTCCACTTTAAGTACTCAAAAGTCCAGACAGCCATATATTTTGTAAAGTACACAGTGGCCAATAAAGATAAGCCAGCACACATATCATGTAATAAGCCTATTGTTTCATTTAATAGCTAAAGGACCCATAACCTAGTATTTTACATATCCTCATGAAATTATCTTTGAACCCATGCTCAATAATTTTTAGGAGAAAAAAATATAAAGAGCTGTTTTGGACCCCTGTTCATACTACTTCTCATAATAGGCCATAGGCTGAAGCTCAAAATGAGGCTAGAAATAGGATTTCGCTCCACTAACCTGGGGACTACTTTTCGATAGCAGTTTTCCAATCTTAAATATGTACTCGAGCTGGGAAAAAAAGTTCTCCATGGGATACCTGCCAGTATTTGAGAAAATGGGTGCCAAAGGTGGCAGTTTACCCAAAGAAGTGACAAATTTGGGTCTTCTACCATTTTCAAACCCTTGTAACTTTTTTATTATTAAGGCGATCAGACTCAGAATTTAGATTCCCACAGAGATTCATACTTACTCAGAGCTTATATAGCGGCAATGTTCTGCGTGCTTTAAGTAAGGAGTTATTCTAAATGAAAAAATACACTTTTTAACAATTTCACAATCTCCCAAAATATATCTTTATTGCACATGAAAACTGCAATTCTTTGAATTTTCAATTGAAAAACTCTAATAGCAAGATACCCTTTTGTGTCTGGTTAACTAATTATTATGAAAAGTGGTGTGAATTTTATCACCTAGCAGACCAGTTACAATATTGGACGCAAAATTTTAGGAAATCACTGAAACACAGCAAAAATTTGAACAATGAAAACTAGGCACAAAGACATTTCTGTTTTTAAACAATGACTTTTATTAAAATTAACATTAACCATGTTAGATAATGTCAACTCATCACTTACACCTATGCACCAAGCAAGTGAATTATACAGTTCAATTGGCCCAATCTTTCTAGCTGAGGAAATATTTAGATCCTCAGATGTAGGAGGCCAATTGGCACTCATGTTAGGGGCACTCTTAACTGCTTGTTTAAGAGTTATACCTGCACTATAAATGGTTCTGGTACAGCCTCATTGTGCTGCATATGTACCACTTTCCTGAACTGTCTCTCCACCACTCGACAAAGTCTCTTGCGATCCTGATGACTCAGGTTCAGTTGATGAACCCTTGTTGAGAAGTCCTGTAGCTTCTGTAAATACCATTTCACTCAGGTTTTTCCTCGTAGGCTTGTAGAAATTTAGTTGGGAAAAGTCTTGCCTCAGTCTTTTCTTCAGAAGATCTGATCTGTGAAAAATTGACAAGGAATAATAAATATATGCTGATGTGAATAATCCATCCATCCATTATCCAACCCGCTTTATCCTTCATGGGGTCGCGGGGGTTTCTGGTGCCTATCTCCAGCGTTCACTGGGCGAGAGGCGGGGTACACCCTGACAGGTCGTCAGTCTGTCGCAGTGCAACACAGAGGCATACAGGACAAACAACCATTCACACCTAAGGACAATTTAGAGAAGCCAATTAGCCTTACAGTCATGTTTTTGGACTATATCAAATAATATCAAAATCTATTAATGAATCATAATTACCTGTCACTTCCTTGACCATGGTGTTCTCGTATCATTTTCTGGAACAGGGAAGAGAGCTTTTTCATCCTGAAGATTTCTTGTTTTTTAATCAACTGTGCCCAAATTCACAAAATTCATTCTGTGTACACAGTGGCATACTCCCAGGCTTCTGGCATCCTGTGTGAAACAATGCAAAATACATATGAGTTAAAATGCTTACTCAATCTTAAAATTAACAATGATAGAATATCTAATTTCATACAAATTTATGGTTAAAATGTTTTATTTAAAACTGCATCCAAATGTGTATTATACATTTTTTACTACAATATAATTTCTCTATAAACTGGGCTTCATTTGTAAGAATAATCAACTTTCAAAAATGTTTAACCCCAGAATGTAACCCTACCATCAATATATGGTTCACTCTCAAGTATTTGTATTTCACAAATATTCTACTTGAATTATCTGAAATTTACCTTTCATCACTTGTTGTAGCCCCCAGAAATCTTGTATATTCTTTGTAGCATCTTTTCCACTTACAACCTTGAGGATGGATTCATCCGTTTGCAGTTCAGTTGCTTTAACCAAACTCCCTAGCAAAGAGAGAGTTAAAAAAGTTCAATCATAAACCAGCTGCCAACAAATAATATCAAATACTTTTTCTCTGTTTTACGAGACTGAACTGGTAGTTGGGTGACAAATTTAAAATCTAACCATTATTTGACAAATGAATGAATTGCCTATCATCACTTCAAGTTCATAATAATGCCTTTTATTATTTTTGAGGCCCTACACATAGCCTTCATACGCTTACTTCACAATGAAAACAGCAGGCTTGGGCCGGCACCAATTACACATGCACTTTTTAAATCAACATATGTATTACTTTTGCTTTTGGTTATAAGCCACAAACAAAGATGCAATCTACAAATGATCTACTCACCAGCATTTATAGTTTCTGCTTGGACCATTTTATCTTTCTTTGTCTTGTGTCCTTCTTTCACAAAGCGGTCAGCCCTCTTGCAAATTATACAGACAGCAGGTAGTACATTGCCAGACCTCAATGATTTAGTCGTGGATCTCAACTGTTTTGACAATGGTGGCCGGCTTGTCGTGGACGTGGTTGTGGAAGACTCGTGATCAGAATCAGAACCATTGTTGTCACCACCATATGCTCCCCGTTTTTCTGCTAGTTTTTCAGCACTGGCAATTCGTTTCTTATCGATGAAACGCCTATAACAAGTTGGATGAAAACCAAGTTTTTTTCCCCCCAAGAAGCCAGAAAGAGTCTTCTGAACAAGCCAGGGTTGACGTGGAATCGTCATTGTTATTTCTGGCGGACTCATCGTGTACACATACAGCCTCTGCCAACGCGCGGTCGATTCCGTCAATTTCTAGCCACTTACGGGCACATACAACCAGCTTCTTCCAACGAACAACTGTCAGTGGCTGTGTCCGTTCTTTGTCCATCGATGATACACTATATTGCCAAAAGTATTTGCTCACCTGCCTTGACTCACATATGAGCTTAAGTGACATCCCGTTCCTAATCCATAGGGTTCAATATGACGTCGGTCCACCCTTTGCAGCTAGAACAGCTTCAACTCTTCTGGGAAGGCTGTCCACAAGGTTTAGGAGTGTGTTTATGGGAATTTTTGACCATTCTTCCAGAAGCGCATTTGTGAGGTCGCACACTGATGTTGGACGAGAAGGCCTGGCTCTCAGTCTCCGCTCTAATTCATCCCAAAGGTGTTCTATCGGGTTGAGGTCAGGACTCTGTGCAGGCCAGTCAAGTTCATCCACACCAGACTCTGTCATCCATGTCTTTATGGACCTTGCTTTGTGCACTGGTGCACAGTCATGTTGGAAGAGGAAGGGGCCAGCTCCAAACTGTTCCCACAAAGTTGGGAGCATGGAATTGTCCAAAATGTCTTGGTATGCTGAAGCATTCAGAGTTCCTTTCACTGGAACTAAGGGGCCAAGCCCAGCTCCTGAAAAACAACCCCACACCATAATCCCCCCCCCACCAAACTTTACACTTGGCACAATGCAGTCAGACAAGTACCGTTCTCCTGGCAACCGCCAAACCCAGACCCGTCCATCAGATTGCCAGATGGAGAAGCGCGATTCGTCACTCCAGAGAACGCGTCTCCACTGCTCTAGAGTCCAGTGGCGGCGTGCTTTACACCACCGCATCCGACGCTTTGCATTGCACTTGGTGATGTATGGCTTGGATGCAGCTGCTCGACCATGGAAACCCATTCCATGAAGCTCTCTGCGCACTGTTCTTGAGCTAATCTGAAGGCCACATGAAGTTTGGAGGTCTGTAGTGATTGACTCTGCAGAAAGTTGGCGACCTCTTCGCACTATGCGCTTCAGCATCCGCTGACCCCGCTCCGTCAGTTTACGTGGCCTACCACTTCGTGGCTGAGTTGCTGTCGTTCCCAAACACTTCCATTTTCTTATAATACAGCTGACAGTTGACTGTGGAATATTTAGGAGCGAGGAAATTTCACGACTGGATTTGTTGCACAGGTGGCATCCTATCACAGTTCCACGCTGGAATTCACTGAGCTCCTGAGAGCGACCCATTCTTTCACAAATGTTTGTAAAAACAGTCTGCATGCCTAGGTGCTTGAATTTATACACCTGTGGCCATGGAAGTGATTGGAACACCTGATTCCAATAATTTGGATGGGTGAGCAAATACTTTTGGCAATATAGTGTATGTGTGTGATGCATATATAATCCACATTTTTCTTGCGTTTTCTGTCTGATCCAACGGGAACGCTCTGCTCCATGGGGGCCGCCATGTTTGTTGTTGTACTCCTCTTTCCGCTTCTGAAGTGGAAGAGCGTACCTGAAGGACGCGCTCTGATTGGCTAACGGCTAGGCGGATTGATTCGAGCATAGATTAACGGTGTGATCAGGCTACCGATATAGTTACACTTTTAAGTAATTACTGTAAAAATACTGGCGCAAAGTGATTGGAGAACTTTTGGTTATGGGCTCAAAATGCACTTAGGATTTTATTGTAGTTGTCATTTAGTAGTCCCTAAATAGGTGGAGCGAACCTGAACGATACAGGCTTCAGCCTATGGCCTATAAGAGTATGCCAGTGAAATGAACTTGTGTGCATGTTTGCCATGGCTCGTTTACCATGGTTTTCGAGTCTCTTACAAAATAGATAAAAAACTTACACAATCAGTAACACTTATGGTGGGAGCAGTCCTTTGTGGGTATTTCTGCTTTGGAACTGAGAGCCCACATGAAAAAAAAAAAAAAGCCACTTTCACACTTTTTTCTCATAGGTTTTGACCGAAGCCCAACAGCAACGCACAGGTTTTAACATGAAAAAGAAGTATCCAATCCAATCCACTTTATTTATATAGCACAATTAATAACAAAAATATTTCCAATATGCTATACACAAAAACAAACAAAAAACCCAACACACACAAAAAGCAAGAGGAGCAGAAGACCACACTATTATATGGTGTTAGAAGCCAAAGTGTAAAAGTGGGTCTTAAGACGAGAGTTAAAACACTCCACTGTGGAGGCTGTTTGTACAGTATATGGAGGCGCAACTTAACATAAGCCTCATCTTAAGCAGGGTAATGTATTGAGGAGCCATACTATTCAAAGCTCTAAACACAAACAATCAAATCTTAAAATGAATTCTAAGATGAACTGGGAGCCGATGCAGAGACACAAGAATTAGTGTATTGTGTTGATGCTCTCTGGTTCCCGTTAAAAGATGAGCCACTGCTTTTTGGACTAACTGCAGACGAGAGAGAGCTTGTTGGCTCTTGGATAAAAGAAGGAAATGATATAAACACTGTTTGTTTGTTCCAGTTTAAAATCACTGTCCATGGTGACACCAAGGCTGGTTATTTTGGAACGTGCAAAATTGTCCCAAGTCAGAGATCGCACTGCCAAACACCATCACATCACTTAGTTTCAGAATTTTTTTTCATAACAAGTCCTTGACGTCACCCAGCCAGTCCAGTAAAGGAGGTCAGGGGGCAGTGGCTGTTTTAAGCAATTGGCAAATAAATTTGACAATAGTTTGCATAGACATCATGCGTCACTCTTTCCAGCTCCTAATTATCATTCATCTCATCCACCTGCCAGTTTCCCTAATATTGGGCTCAGTTCCAGCTATCATGGCCAGATCATTTTGTTTTCTGTTCATTCAGTCTGTCTGTTAAGTTTATGCCATGGTTCATGTCCTGGATCCTGGCGGCCAGTGGAAAGAGGGTTTTTGTGTCTATCTCGTCTCCTGCTTGTTCACTGTTCCTCCCCTGCTGAGTCCTTTGGGTTTTTGGCTCTATACGCCGGGACGCAAAATTTTTATTCCAGTAAGCCTGGCTCCAAGGTGGAGACCAGTTTAAAGGTCCTGCTGAAGTTCTGGTTCCATGTCCTGTCTCGGCTTCCCTCTTCGACTGAGCCTGCCCGTCTGCACCTGATCCTGTCTGCTCCTGTGCGTGTCCGCTTGGTCACGCTTCTGGACTCTGAACCTGCCTGGGAGCTCTAGGATGCCTGGAAGCCTGGATCCTGTCTGTTCTGTCTGTTCCTGCAAGTCCTCTGGGACTGCTGCACCGGGGACACTCTGAGTAACGCATGCTGCGTCTGTCTTCAGTCCAGCGGCTGGATTGCGCCCCTTTCCAGGGAGATGGACCGGACTGTTGAACCAGGTAAGTGACTCACTGAGATCATCTTCTTTCAGATGATTGTGGTCACTTACCTGTGTTACTCCCACCAGAGTGTCTGAGACTGGGCGGTGCCCCGCCTCCCTCCTGCAGCATCCACGAGCCGCAGATCCTAGCAGCTCCACTTTAGTTTTGTTTGTTTTCATTTAATAAACGTTTTGAACTTTCCTACTGACTGTCTCACTTTGAATACTGGGTCCATCTGTCCCACTTAATGACAGAAAGAATCATGATCAAAACTATTTTTTTTAATCAGTGGTTCAACAGCTTCTTTTTTACAGAAAGAAGGCACAGTTGCAGAAGACAGGCTGCTGTTAGTTATCTCACCAACAACCAGGCTTATAGTGTCCCAAGCCTCCATAAAAAGCAAGGAGGGACAGGGCCAGTGGAAGGAGGGAAGAAAGATTTTAGCTTTAGAATAATTTCTGTCAAAACAGCTGTGGGCGCTCCTTGCCTCCAAGGCCCCTCAGCAGGTGCTCCTAGCCTCCAAGGCCCATGGGTGCTCCTCACCTCTTGGTCATGGGTTTCTTAAGTAAAGGTTTTATAACAGCTACTTTTGTCATGATCCTGGCACTGGTGGCTGGCTTGATTGCTCATTCCACTCACCTGTTTAACTCTGCCGGGTTTCTCATTACTGCTTATGTGATCCATCTGTTTCCAGCTCCAGATTATTCAAGCTATTTGATGAGTGCAAATTTTATATTCTCTTTGTTGTTCTGATTATCTGATTGTGACTTGTTTCTGCCTTGTGGAGCTTTGCTTTGCCCCTGTCTGCTCTGTTAACCTCGGCTTGGATTCCCCTTCTGTACCTCATCGGCTCTCTGATCTTCTGGTCTTTGAACTTGGTTGTGCTATGCCGGTTTTGGATATTCCCCTAAGGACTCTGTCGCCCCTCGGCATCGTTTTGCATAAGCTCAACTCTTCACCCAGAGCTCTGTGGGCGGCGCCCGCTCAAAGCGGAGTACAATCTCCTGCTTAGATTAATCTCCTTAGTCTAGGAACGGACTAAACTGTGAACCAGGTCTGAAGTAAAAAATGAGCACTGAGAGTTGATATCCAAAGAAGAAAAGGTTTTATTTTACTCTGCAGAAGAGAATGGCAAAAACCAGCTGAATACAGCTCTGAATGCGATTCTGAGGCTGGAGCATCCAAAGCCTGAATATAAGAAAATTCAACGCACAGACATACATTGACATTTCCCAGTTTATCACAGGACAGAGATTTGTTTCAGATAACAGGTTTCCATACACCCCAAGTCATGAGAATCTTGAACACAATGAGGACATGTTATCTATATTATCCCCTAGGGGGAAACTTCCTTTCATCTTAGAACAAAGCTTATAAGTAATCACTCCTATTCAGGAAAAGAGAAAAGGCACACTTTCTCACAAGGAAAACATATGACTCTACACAGGTCAGGGATTATTTTCTCTTAGTTGTTATCAGCCCATTATTAGTCACTGACCTGAGTTTCTGTTCCTACAGAGGATCCGGTTTAAAAGCCTTTGGTACATATACCTGTAACAGGGATAGATTAATCACATCTAAATTGGAGGAGGAGATCAAAGGGAATACTTCCTTAAATAACCTTGTTGGAACAGGATCGAACACAAAGTTGAAGGCTTAGATAAAGACATTAGTTTTGCTGTTGTCTCATCTTCCAGAGATAAACCAATCATAGTTAGATGGTTGCTAATAATCTTATTTTTTTATATATATACAGAATCTCATAAAATCATTACTGCTAGACTCA